AAAAAAAACGAGTCTTTTCCAGTTTACAATTAGATAACATTTAGAAGTATTCGCTGATTATATTTTAGAAAACAATTTTTTTTTTCTTCTTTTATTAGTAACATCAAATTTTCGGATGAAAAGTTTTTGGTAAAATTTTCTTTGCTATCATTTTAATGACCTGGAAAAAAAAAGGAAGAGAAGAAATGATGTATAAAAATTGCCGCTACTTGACGACAGTTTGTATCAATCATTTGTTTTTTTTTTACTTCGAAACATATTTTCAATAAACCAAAAGTAATAAGTTGTTATTGAGCAGTAAAAAAAAATTTTTTTACTGTTCAAATTACAGCAGTGATTACAAATGCATAAATTTTTTTGTATCACAATTTATTTTTTGTTGGTTCAGTAAGTTACCATCAGTTATGGCATCTTTATTTTGTTCTATTTTATATTTTCTCTCTTTCGATAACGATACATAACCGTTACTGTTTTTCGTTTATTATTATTAATAGTATTATTTTGTTCGCTTTTATTGCTGCTATTATTATAACCAATATTGTTAATACCTTATCTAAGATCGCACTCTATTTTCAACACTGCGGTCAATTAGACTCAACTGTTAACCACCAAATTTTGGCACAGATAAAAGGCGTATGTCAAGTCTTAAAGTAGCAGATTACACAAGATGAAAAAGCAACTGAAGAAATCCAGTATCAAAAGAGCAAAAGAGAAAGGTTGAAAAAAAAAAAGAAAGATTTTATGTAGAGCGGTAATGATTTTACGAACAAATGGCTCTTTTATTTGTGTCTGATTTAAAAACCTTCTTTTGCCTTAGAGAAGGCTGCTCGTTACAAATGGATAAAGGTGCCAGCAAAACAGAGAGAAGGAAAGTTGTTTTCTTTCTTTAATTCTAACAGGAACCTATATTTAGAGAATTTTTGAAGGAATTGTCAATCTATCTGCTTCTTCAATAGTTGTCTACTTCTATTTAGAAGAATAAACTGATTTAGATTTTGAGCAGCTTTAGTTTTCTTCCAAATGGCTAAAACTTCCAAGAAAACGAACAGCTTGAACATACAACTGTACCTACAGAGGCATAACACTTTTTGACTAAATGTTGCACTGTTTAAATAACAACAGACATAAGTTGAATTGAATTACTCTCAAGCCGTTTGGTATTACGAGCGGCGTAAACAGAAGAAAACTACAGTTGGTAATCAAAGAAGCAGAAGAATCTTGCAAGAAACAGAAAAAAGACTGTAGTGTCGCTTTTCGACAAATTTTAGTTTAGTTCTATACTTGACATAAATAAAACATTTAAAATATTTTCATAAACTCTTTTCTAATTCTGTACTCGGTTCTCTATGCGGGCATCAAAAATATACTTCTTTCACTCGTTAGTAGCGTATCATTTCCATAATTGCAATGCTGTGCTTTTTACATTCTTTCAGTATTATCATCTTTAGTCTGTCCACCCTATATAAAATGAACATATCATCCCAATCTCTCACAACGCCGGAAGGATCTTATCTTCTTGTAATGCCTTTCCTAAACTTGTCGTCGAAGTGCCAATCGTCGTATCAGTGTAACACCATCAGTCTTATTTTTCC